GTTGGGCTGAACTAAACCCTAAAAAACCCGTGGTGTGAAATTCACCACATCTCGGCGACCAAAAGACTTGGACTTGGGAAGCTCGGGAGTTGAATCTGAAGCGTCGATCCAACATAAATCCATCAAATCCAAAAAACACAGACAACAAGAAAAACACATGCTGGAAGACTTGATCCAATCCGCCGGATAGGGAAGCCCTCGTTGTTCTTTCATGTTTTGGCCCCAAAAATGAGACTTCCTCGGTTCTTGAAACCTATGACCTTCACAACACAACCGATATACGTTAGCCCTGCGAAAGCCCACGAACCGGGTCTCCTGTCTTGTTGAAGTCACCTGAGCAGAAGGACCACTTGTCTTCCAGAAGCAAAAGAGTCACCATCAAGTTCCATGTGGAGGCGACAGAAGGACCACTCGATCAACCCATTGAGCTATGACAGCCACGTCTACTCACTCTTGGGGAAAAAAACACGTTGGAGTAATCTGTACATCCAAGGGCAGCAGCCACTACCACATGCATTGAAGAATTATGTTTGCAGAAAGTGAAGCAAACATGCAGCAAACATTGATGGCCGCCTTGAATGTGGACTTCAACCGCCGGCTCATTAACAGTTGCCAAGCAATATACACAAGGCTGCAACACCACTGCAAAAATCCCACGACCGTCCAAGGACCCCAGGTCCTAGTGGGCCCTAGGCGCTGCCAAGGTGGTCAGACTTGCCGAAGAAAGCTTCCAAGTAGCAACCCTCCCATGTGCTCTCTTGGCTGCCTAGAGAACCCTCAGGAGCTTCTTGCCCCACACTTCAGGACATTTCTTTCAAACCTGATTTCCTGCACAGGGCATGGTTTGGAGGAACCCCCGGTCTTCAACAAAAAACATGCTTTCCTTTCGGCATGCCATTCACATAATTACAAGTTGAGAGAAAACACCAAGCTAAGAACACATGGCTTGCTGGTTTTGAATGGTTTTCCTTGTGCCTTCACCTCACCTCACGCCGACCACGCCGACGCCTGACCTGACCGCTGCGAAGCTGCTGCCGGAGCTGGAGAAGCTCTTCAACCTCGGACAGAAAACGTCCGAAGAGTCCTCCTCCTCCTCCACGCATGGGATGAGTGCATGGCATGGAGGGTTGGGTTTTGTTTTTTTCATCACGGAGCCGGGCTGCTCATTGAAGCATACGCATGATGAAGCAAAAGAACATACAAAAGAACAGAGAAATATCAGTTGCCAATGGGCCGTAACCCCATGGGGTTCCACCACCTCTGCCACATCTCGTGGGGTTCGTTCCGCCCTTCTAGGTCCACCCACGAGCTCTGCCAGCATTTCATTCCTCGGGAGCGGATAAACGACGTCTCGGGAGCGGGTCGGTCGACCGTGGGGTGAAACCAAAGCGAACCGCACCGGTCTTGGTGCAACACATCCTATTCAGTTCTATACTTTGAAGAGTCGTTTCTTGCCACTGAACACAGAAAAAGTGCCAGCAAGAGAAAGACTACGCAAGTACGTAGTAGCAAAGGAATAGTCAGGTTCTAAAGCGGGCATAGTAAAACTTGGGGTAGAGAAAGTGTTTTTTGTAGGCAAACAATATGGAAGAATCCTTCGGCTGTGGGGGCTGTGGGGGAGGGCAAATCTATGAAAAAACCCCTCCTCTTTCTCTCAACGACTGACCATCACAAGGTAGACACCCCTGCCTAGGACAACATGACACAGGCTCCCCATGTTCTCCATGATGTGACCAATGAACACCTGTCCACGTCAAGCCATTCGTGCCAGCTCCCCTGACACTCACTTTCCCAAGTTCTACACAGAGCTTCTGATCGTCCCGACCCGAACCCCAGAAAGACGACCGGTTCGACTGGTTCGGCTTGTGAGGAACCGACCGACTCTCGGAGTGGCGACCGGTCGCTGCACTGGACCCGTTTTGGCTCGGATGGAGGGATTTGGAGCTGGGGTTTGGAGCGAGCTTCATGTGCAGCTCTTCCATTGGTTGGAGGTATGATCGGAGTGGGGAGACGACCGGTCTCCCCAGAAAGGTTGGGTAGGTGCTGGTAACGCCTCCAGGCCTCCAGGCGCCTGTGCCTGATATGTAATAACCTCCAATAATGCAGTATCTAGTGTGCTTGATATATGACTTTGTCCTTCTGTGAGCTACAGGTGTGTTGGGGGGGGGGGTTCTGGGGGGGGCGAGGTTTCGTTCGGTTCGTCGATTCGTTCGTTTTCGTCCGTTTTCGTTCGATTACGGACGGTTTCGTTCGGCTCATGTGTCAATGCCGCAGCCGCGGCCATGGCTCTCAGCCGCGAAACTCTTTTGTGTTTGTCGTTCATTTTGTTGCTTCGTTTGTGTGGGGAAACCGTTTCTGAGTCATCTTTAGAGGTTTTTTTCGTGTGGACCCCTTCTTTTTGGACGGATTAATTGATGTTGGTTCGTACCCGGTGGGAGGTGATCCGTTGGTTGATTTTGTTTCGGATGTAACTTCTTCAAACGATAGGTGGCCTTTGGATCTCAACGTTCTTCCACCTTTTTTGGGGTTACTTCGATACACGTGGTTGCGAGTTTGGTTGACAATCTTGAAAAGCAAGAACAGGTCTCAGTTTTGGATTCAACTAGCTGCTTTGCATGTGTTATCTGCGAGATTAAATCGCCCCATGTCTTCGAGCCATGCAGAGCAAACTCGTCATGATGGTCATGCAGAGGTCCTGAACGAGGACACGGTGCCTCGGTGGATCTGGGAATGTGAAACGGGTCCTGCAGAGGTCCTTGCACTTGTTTGGGGACATGTGGTGCTTCGAAGACAAATCTGCCCCGCAGGGTTGTGTTTTCCTTGTGTGAATCTCTGTAACCGTAACCATGGAGCCAGTGGTTTTTTTATGAAGAGCTTCCTCGATTTTCCGGATTCCACGCGCCCGGTGATGCGAATAGGCCGGCGCACCATCTTCAGCACATCCAGCACGGCGTGACGACGCTGAGCACGGAAGGCGCATCCTATGGAATCGGTTCTGCGCCCACTTTGGGTGTCATTTTGTTCTCCTTCTGCCAATTCGCAGGCATGACGACACGGGCGCTGCGGCAATTTTGGTGTCTGGACCCTTGACGCCCCGGCGACAGACCACGATCATACCAGCATCTCAGCGGCAACGCCAGCCAACCATCTTGACTCAAGCAGTTTTCCGTGCGCCCTTTTTGTTCCGTGGCTTTTGAAAGGTTGTGCAAAACTATACCCAAACATCGCCCAGGTTTTGGATTCACCTACATTGCAAAGCTTCAATACTGTCGATCTTTGTTCGCCTTCTCCGATGTCCAAGAAAAGACGGACAGGTGACCTGGCCAGTGAAGCAGACTCTTTGTCTCCTCCCCGCGGCGACGAGTCTCCGCATCACTTGAGGAGCAAACTTGAAGCTTGGTGGGAGAACAGTCTTCCTGGGTGGCGTCAGCTCCCTCAGCCAGTGCTTGAAAGTTCCACAGCCTCATCTGTGGATGTGCAGCCCGGCGTTGCTATGCCGAGCTTGGTGTCTTCTTCGAGTACCACGACTTCTATGCCTATGCCTTCCACGCATGTTCCTGACGGGCCGTCTTCAAGCACCCCGACTTCTGTGCCGGTGCTCTCTCCACGCGTGCGCGTGCGAAGCACTGGCTCCTCGAGTGGCACTGCTGCGGCGCAGGTTGATGAGTGGCATCTGAAGCCAACGAAACATGGAAGGCGTGAACAGTGTGGCTACGCGCTCAGGCGGGTTTCCTATTGTTGATTTTCCTTTTTGGTTTGGGGTGCACGTGCAATGAACCGGCTCGCCAGGCAGAAGATCTGGCACAGTGGCACGCGGGCTGGACACGCCGTTTTGTCGCTTTGCAGCCTTGTGTTGTAGTTCTGAAAGACAGTTGCAATGTTCACAGAGGCACTGTCCGGACTCCTGTCTTCTTCAGCTTCTGCCATCACATTTGTTTCCTAAGGATCTGTAGCCGCTGGTTTGAGAAGGATGACAGTGGGCGAAGGCTTTGCTGGTTTTCCCGCGAAGTTTCCGGCGAGACAGTTCGCGCGTGGGGCAAGTGGTGGGCCAACACGTACTTTAGTTTACCGATGCGCTTGCGTCGAGGGGGCCGTCCTTGAAGGAATGGTCTTCTCTTTACGCACACAAGCACAAAGCAATCTACTCAGATCGTTCTCCGAGTAGAGACTCGTGACGCAGAGATTGTTGCAAAAGACGGCCCTGCTCCTTCCTCACGTGCTCTGATGTTCCCAGTCGATGACAATCTTGCTGATTGACTTCAGTCCAAGAGGTGTTCCTGACTGTGTGAGATTTTGGACCAAGTGCAGAGCACACATGCGTGTCAATGGCCACAGAGATGCTTTGAAAAAAGAAGAACCTGTCAATGCAAGGTCAGTTTTGATGGGAATATGTGGACACAGAATTTTTTCTGTCACACTCGAATCTTTTGCTGTGACGTAAAGACACCTTTTCATGCCGTCACCGGCCTGGAGCGCAAGTGCTGCTGCTGTGAAGCCGACCGGAGTGTGGTTCCTCGATTCCAAATAGATGTTTGGATTTCAGATGTCTCTTGGTG